TATATATATATATATATTTTTGCATCCACATATATACAAATTGTCATTCAATTTGTCCCCAATACATATAACACAGGTCTCCTGTTTCCCTACAAACAACAACAAATTGTGGTTCTTTTCCACATTTTCATAAAAGCCTAGCTGTAATAAAATAAAGAAAATCAGGTATGATTGCCTCCTGCATTCCTCCCATTCCAAAATGAAGTAAAAGACCAGTGTGTAGAGAGGAGGGCCCCCATCTGAAATGTGACTGGTGTTTCCTTACTTCTTGGAGTTTCATAAGGCTCCCAGGTGCATAAATGTCAGGGTAGAAAAAGAGCAATAAAATAAGTATTATTGCTCTTGAAACCAACCAGAGGTCATTGAGGGTGTCTTCACTTGGCAGGAGAATTCATGCTTCTAAGTTAAGCACCCAAGGGTTTCCTGAAACCCACAGACTGGGCAGAACAATCTGGACATTTGAATATTGATCCACTGAGTGTTAATAAAACATAAAACAGCAAGGAAAGTCACTCTCTCCAGACCTACCCTTCCTTTCTTTTTCTGTTCCCATGTTCTTTGAGCCAAGATTTAATTAAAGTCCAATGAAAATAGAGGCAAACGGTCTGTGACTAGGGTAGGAATGAAAGGGAGGTAGGAATACAAGTTTAACTCTAGATTTATTTATGACTCAATATGTACACTGTCCTCAGGAAGAAGTATTACAATCCTTGCCTACAAGGACTTTTAGTCTTTGGAGAAAGAGACCTAACATGCCTCAAATCCAACCAAAGAACAGAATAATACAGCATGAGGCAGAACATGAAAACACAGTATGAAGCAGTACAGTTAGGAAGCACCGACTGATGGAGGAGATTATAGAAATTGTTCTCTCAGTTCCACATCACCTTACTTCCTCACCATATTCCTCTACACCAAACTCATACCTGAACAGTCCAGGCCAAATTTTCAACCCTTTGTCTCTGCATATGTTATTCCCTGGGCTTGAAGCACTCAACGTTGTCTGTGTTTGGTAGTTTGCTTAGTGTTCTTCTTCAGTATCTAATCAGAGGAGGCCTTCGCTGATCCCCAGACAGAATCTTTGTGACCACAGCATGTTGGAAACATTGAAGATACAGAGATCTCTGTTGGTTTTGTTTGGCAATATAATAGTTCAGAGCAGTACTTAGGACATTGTCGGTGTTGAATATTTACTGGGTGAATGAATACTCCAATTATGTTTTAAAAGTAATCACACTTATTATTCCATTACATTGGGTCTATCTCTGCAGGGAGATGTGAACCCATAGTTCACCTTCCAGTGTGGACCACAGAAAACATCCCAAGTGCTTGACAGATGCCTAAGCCAGAAAGGTGGGACTCAAGACCAGCTTTGATATGGCCATGTTTAAATGAAAATGGAAGAAAATAAGGAGCAAGGGACGTGTCTGTCAAACAAATCTTTTGCCATGCCTCCTGATCAATGATTAGAGATCTCCCAGCCCGCACGTTCAATGCAGACTCAGTATTGTGACAGTTGGTAACCACCAGTGGGAACAGACTTAAAATTTCAGGAATTTTCCAGCTAATTAATGGTTGTTAAACACAGCCAATATCAAAAAAATAAGTTATATCAAATTTCAATTAAATAAATATATTTTAAAAATAAATACATAAAGCACAGAGACCCCTTATATTTTGCTGCATTTGTTATAATAATAATAATAATAATAATAATAATAATAATAAT